TTCAACACCCCTTAATTATAAAAATTCTCAGCAAACTAGGAATAAAGGGGGAACTTCCTCAAGTTGATAAAGAACGTCTACAAAAAACCTACAGCTAACATCATACTTAATGATGTTATAACTAGAAGCTCTCCTGCTAAGATCAGGAATAAGGCAAGAATATACCCTGATGGTTTGTAAACTGGCCCCCTTACATGGAAGGCAGGGAGAGACCAAAGAAAGAGGTGAATCACTCCAGATTGGTAGGTGGCAGGATGGCGTTTTAAATAAGCAAGGGGATTTACGAGGCTTGTCTTGGGCAGCCACAAGACAAGTAGATCTCTGAACACACCCACCATTATCTTAAAAGTTTATACAGAGGACTTAACTGGGTTCAGTCATATATACCATCCAGATGGTCTCAACATCACATTACTATCTCAGCCTGCATACTTGGGTAGCTTCTAGCATGGGGAAGGCAAGCAGAACACACATTCCAAAGACAGGGGAGGAGGTGAGGAGCTTCTGATTGCCCAAGTCCAGCTTACAGGTTAACCAGTGGTCATGTCCTCTCAGTAATCTCTTCCAATATCCCCTCTCACCACTCTTTCAACATCATACTGGAAGTATGAAAAGGAAATAAGTGTATACAGATCGGGAAGAAATAAATAAAGCTTTCTTTGCTCATAGATTACACAATTGTTTATGTAGAAAATCTGAATGGGGCTTCCCTGGTGGCACAGTGGTTGAGAATCCACCTGCCAATGCAGGGGACACAAGTTTGAGCCCTGGTCCAGGAAGATCCCACATGCTGCGGAGCAACTAACCCCGTGCACCACAACTACTGAGCCTGTGCTCTAGAACTGGCGAGCCACAACTACTGTGCCCGCATGCTGCAAGTACTGAAGCCAGCGTGCCTAGAACCCATGCTCCGTAACAAGAGAAACCACCACAATGAAAAGCCTGCGCACCGCAACGAAGAGTAGCCCCCAGTCGCCGCAATTAGAGAAAGCCCGCGTGCAGCAACGAAGACCCAACACAGCCAAAAATAAATAAAATAAATAAATTTAAAAAAAAGAAAAAAGAAAATCTGAATGAATTGACCAAAAAACTACTGGAACTAATAAGTGATTATAGCAAGTTTGAATGATACAAGGCTAATGCACAAAAGTCAATTGCTTTCCTATATACCAGCAATGAACAATTGGAATCTGAAATTTAAAATCATAATACCATTTACATTAGCACCCCCCACACTGAAATACTTAGGTATAAATCTAACAAAATATGTAGAAGATCTATACAAGGACACCTATAAAACTCTGATAAAAGAAATCTAGGAAGAGCTAAATAAATGGAGAGATATTCCATGTTCATGAATAGGAAGAGCCAGTTCTTCCTAACTTAATCTATAGAGTCAACACAATACTGACCGAAATCCAAGCAAGTTATTTTGTGCATATTGACAAACTGATTTCAAAGTTTATACAAAGAGACAAAAGACCCAGAATAGCTAGCACAATACTGAAGGAGAAGAACAAAGCTGAAAGACTGACATGACTTGACTTCAAGACTTAATTTAAAGATATAGTAATCAAGAGAGTACGATATTGGCAAAAGAATAGACAAATAGATCAATGGAAAGAAGAGAGAGTCCAGAAACAGACCCACACAAATATAGCCATGTAATCTTTGACAAAGGAACAAAGGCAATACAAAGGAGAAAAGAAAGTCTCTTTGACAAATGGTTCTGGAGCAACCAGACAGCCACATGCAAGAAAAATGAATCTAGGCACAGACCTTACACCGTTCACAAATATTAACTTGAAATGGATCTTAGACCTAAATATAAAACACAAAACCATAAAACTTGCAGATAACACAGGAGAAAAACTAGATGACCTTGAGTTTGGTGATGACTTTTAGATACAACACCAAAGTCACAATTCATGCAAAAAGAATCGATAAGTTGGACGTCATTAAAATTAAAAACATCTGCTCTGAAAAAGACACTGTCAAGAGGCTGATAAGACAAGCTACAGACTGGGAGAAAATATTTGCAAAAGACGTAGCTGATAAAGGACTGCTATCTAATGTAAACAAAGAACTCTTAAAACTCAACGATTAAAAAAAGAATAATCTGATTTAAAAATGAGCAAAAGATTGGAACAGACACTTCACCAAAGAAGATATACAGATGGCAAATAAATATATAAAAAGATGCTTAACATCATATGCCACTAGGGAATTGCAAATTAAAACAAGTGGGATACCATTACGTACCTCTTAGAATGGCCAAATTTCAGAACACAGACACCATCAAATGCTGGTGAGGATGTGGAGCAACAGGAACTCTCATTCATTGATGGTGGGAATATAGAATGGTGCAGCCACTTTAGAAGAGAGTTTGGCAGCTTCTTACAAAACTAACCATGCTCTTACTATAAGATCCAGCAACTGTTCCTTGCTATTTACCCACATGAGTTGAAAACAAGTCCATGAAAAAACCTCACACAGATATTTATGGCATTTGTCTTAGTCCATTCAGGCTGCTATAACAGAATACCATACGTAGACTGGGTAGATTATAAACAACAGAAAGTTTTTTCTCACAGCTTTGGAGGCTGGGAAGTCCAACATCAAGGGATCAGTAGATTTGGTATCTAGTGAGTGTCCACTTCCTGGTTCCTAGGCAGCCACCTTCTTGTTGCATCCTCACATGGTGAAGGGGCAAGGGAGCTCTCTGGGGTCTCTCTTATAAGGGCACTAATCCCATTCACTAGGGCTCTACTCTAATTACCTAATCACCTCACAAAGACCCCACCTCCAAATACCATCTTTAGGGATTAGGTTTCAACATATGAATTTTGGGGAGGTACAAGCATTCAGGCTATAGCAGCAGCTTTATTCATAATTGCCCAAATTTGGAAACAACCAAGATGTCCTTTATTTGGTGAATAGATGAACTGTGGTACATCCAGACAATGGAATATTATTCAACAATAAAAAGAAATGAGCTATCAAGTCATGAAAAAACATGGAGGTGAGCTTCCCTGGTGGCTCAGTGGTTGAGAGTCCGCCTGCCGATGCAGGGGACGCGGGTTTGTGCCCCGGCCCGGGAAGATCCCACATGCCGCGGAGCGGCTGGGCCCGTGAGCCATGGCCGCTGAGCCTGCGCATCCGGAGCCTGTGCTCCGCGATGGGAGAGGCCACAACAGTGAGAGGCCCGCATACAGCAAAAAAAAACAAAACATGGAGGTTTCTTAAACGCATATTACTAAGTGTAAGAAACCAATCCGAAAAGGCTACATACTGTATAATTCCAACAATATGATATTCCAGAAAAGGTAAAACTATGGAAACACTGAAAAGATGAATGGTTGCCAGGGGAGAGGGAGGGATGAACAGGTGGAGCATAGAGGATTTCAGGGCAGCAAAACTGTTCTTTATGATACCATAATGGTGGATACGTATATATCACATATTTGTCAAAACCCATAGATTGTACACTACCGAGAGTGAACTCTAATGTAAGCTATGGACTTTGGGTGATAATGATTTGTTAACATAGATTCATCAGTTGTAGCAGATGTACTACTCTGGTGGGATATGGACAGTGCGGGAGGCTGTGCATGTGCAGGGGCAGGAGGTATATGGGAACTCACTGTACTTTCTGTTTAATTTGCTGTGAATCTAAAACTGCTCAAAAAATAGCCTATTTAAAAACAAACAAAAACAGGAAAAAACAAGTCACACCAGGGATATAAGATTGCTTTGGACCTGGCAAAATGCTACATACACATGAGGGTTATTATGGCTTGAAGAGGCAGGTGCCTGCACTTTGTGGGCACAGCATGTGGCATTTGCATTGATATGCTCAGAAAGAGAACATCTTTTGGAGACGGTTTTTCTTTCTCTAAATAAAGTTTGTGTGCTAGAGGCCAAGGTTGACACTTTTTAGAGGTGACAGGCACTTTCCTGTCATTCTTCCTTCTGCCCTAACACACAGGTATGTAAATGTCTCAGGAGGGGTAATCTTAAACTTTGTGAATTAACTCCTTAGAAATTATTAATGGCAGAACTGGCCTGAGGCCACTTCCCCTCTCTGGGCCTCAGTTTCCCTGCTTAAAAAAGAAAGTGGTTTTCGATGTTTTCTAAGACACTTTCCCTCTCTGAGCTTCTGTGATTCTTCTCTCAGTTTCTCCAATGAGCCAGGCTCTCTCTAGCTTGTAGTTCTTTGGACGTGTGGCTCCTTCCACCAGGACCACTGACCCCACTTGCCTGGTTTACTGCTTGCTCTTCTGTCTTTCTGGTTTCAGCATAGACATCACTTCCTTGGGGAATTCCTCTTGACCTCTCTAAACAGAATAAGCTGCCCCTTCTCCATGCTCCCATAGCCCCCACTCAACCTCCCTCTCTGTACTTAATACACTAAATGGTAATTTTCTGTTTACTTGACCCTTCCCTGCTCTACACTGCACCCTGCCGAGAGCAAAGTGTTGTATTTATTACTCTACCCCCAGTGCTAAGTGGAGGCGCAGTTCCAGATTTCCCAGTTCTGTCTACCTGGAGAGCTTCCAGACCCAGATCCTCTGGGAAGGGTTATGCCTCCAGAAACTCTCAACCACCGGCTAGAAGCTGTGAGTGGGAAAAGCATCCTTCTGTAGGAAAGAACAATTGACGTTATTAAAAGACTACTTAACATTAGAACTTACTTATAGCAGAGCCTTTCTAAAGAAACACGGAGTCCCTCTAAGTGTGACCTTTTAAAGTTTTTGTTTTTAAAATTTATCAGAGGGAGAATTTAAGAGCTGAAGTTTCCCAGTCCAAGTATCTCTCAAAGGCTAAGGCAAAGAATGAGAAATGATCATTAGAACAGACCTTTAGCACCTGGCTTGGAATTTTCCATTCCACTGACAGGAAGGCAAACACCTTCTGTCCTGGCACCTTCTTCATATCCGGGTTGGCTGCTGCTACCCTGCACCTTTGTTCAGCTCCACCCCTTGTGGCCCGGCGGTTTCTGCTCTGCCCACCAGCCTCAGAGCCAGCTCTGGCTCTGCCACAATGGGGCTGCCCCTGCCAGGGCTGTGGCTGAAGAGGCTCTGGGTGCTCTTTCAGGTGGGCCTGCACGTGGCCATGGGCAAAGTGCTTCTTACACTGTTTCCCAGGAGGGTCAAGCAGAACATCCTGGCCATGAGTGAGAAGACTGGCATGGCCAAGAATCCCCACTTCTCCTATGAAAACTGGATACCCACTTTCTTCAGTGCCCAGTATTTCTGGTTCATCCTGAAGGTCCGTTGGCAGCGACTGGAGGACATGACGGAGCAAGGGGGTCGAGCCCCAAACTGCCCTGTGGTCCGCCTGTCAGGACAGAGGTGCAACATCTGGGACTTCATGCAAGGTCAGGAGGCTGGTCCAAGCTTGAGAGGTGCTTGGATGGGGGTGCTTGATGGGGGTGGGCAGGTGGGTTGGAAAGCCTGAATGCTACTAATCCAGCTGCTTCTGTTTTGGCTTCTTGTCCTCTTCCCACTTCCTGAAACTAGCACCTCTCCTGGGTTCTGTTCTTCTAAGTGGCATCGTCCCCTTCCCAGGCAATCAAACCGCAAACCATCCACACTGGCTGTCAGCTCCTTCAGCACCTCTCTTACTGCACAGTCACTCTGCCTGGGATGCTCTTCACTGCCGCCCCACCCTACCCCCCACCCCACACCTGGTCCACTCTTGCCCAGTGACACTTCCTGAGACAAGCCAACCCCCGGTACCCTGGCCTACTCCCTCTTCTATGCTTAACATCCTAAACTTTTCTTTATCACACCCATTGTGGTTTGTAATTATGTGTGGGTATTTGATGAATGTCTGTCCCCTTCACTAGCCTGCAAGCTCTGTGCAGGTGGAGATCATGCCTCTATCTCACTATTGGGTCCCCCTAGCTGCTGCTGGCTCATGGTAGTTGCTCAGTAAATATCTGTTGAAGATTCTCTCTCTCTCTCTCTCTCTCTCTCTCTCTCTCTCCCAGGCAAACAGCTCTATTTGGGTTCTTAAAGGCCTCTCTGGTCAGTTTTCCCTTTTTGTCCTTCCTCCTCCCCGTCTTGCCATCTCTTCCCACCGAACTTGTGGATGGCTGCCAGATTCCCCTTCCACAAGCACATTCCTGGATGACTGGTACCCCAGCTCACCAACCTTCAGCAGCCCCCATCTGCATTTGGGACGAAACCCAGGCTCAGCCTTGTGCTGAAGGTCCTTCCTGATCTGACTCCAGCTTTTCTTCCCGACTTCACCTGCAGGCTTCCCCTCAGGCCCACTGCCTCCAGATGAACTGCTGGTTCTTTACATCCCTTGTGCTTTCCCTTCTCTTTGCCTTTGCTGGTGGTGTTGGCCCTTCCCCTCTGTCACCAGCATTCCTCATCGGCAGGGTCCTGCTCTCATGCCTCTCCCTGTGAAGCCAGCTCAGATCCCTTCACTGAGGCCTGCTCTCCCTCCCTTCTGAACTCATGGATCTCTGCCTGCATCTCTCCTGGACATTGATCCTTCCTACCCAGCACCCGGCTACCGAAGCTCAAGTGTCATCCTTCCGCCCAGTGGGAAGGCTTGGGACGGGGCTGTGTCTGATTCATCTCTGAATTCTCAGGGTATAGACACAGCAGAGTAGAGAAGGCCCCTGAGGCAGCTGGCTAATCTAGTGATTTTCAAAGCATGTTTTTTGGAACCCAAATCCCACACATGTGCTTTACTACATAGAGTTCCCTGGTCAAAATAGTTTGGGAAACACTGCATACTATACTCTCCTCCCGGAAGTTCATCGCGCACATGAACATATAAAAGGCTCCAAGACACCCTGAAGCTTAAAAACAAACAAAGCTTGAAAAAACTTTAACACGGCACTGACCAATTTTCCTAACATACACATACAACTCCCCACTCTCCACCAGAGGAAAATCTTATCATCATCATATTGGTTCCAAAGAACAACCTCTGGGAAAGGCTGACCTGATCCAATGTTTTCATTTTAAAACGGAAATGGAGGAAACTGAGAGCAAAGGTTACAGGGCCAGTGAGAGACCAAGTCAGACCCAGAATCAGGGCTTCTTCACCCTGTTTTTTCAATACACCTCAACAGACATTTGTGAGCATTCCCTATGAGCCACACCCTCAGCTAGATGCCAGGGACTCAGAGCTAGGAAAGAGCTTGCTGTTTTGCTTGAGGAATGTATGGTTCCACGGAACAGACAGATGTAATAAACAAATCCGTACAGTTCCGTGAGGCGGGCAGACAAAGGTATGAACTTTGCCTGCAGGGCTTGGAAGATTTCCTGGAGGAAGTGGCTTTGGAGTTAGGCCTTGAAGAATGAGTAAGATTTTTATAGCTTGAAAAGAGTGTTGCAATCAGACGGAAGGGGAAGAGTTTTTTGCTGATGACTTTAAACCATTGTGCTGAAATGACCTCTATTTATTCAATAAACATTCACTAAGTGACCACTGATAATAAGAGCAATGAGAGTAATAGCTAATCTTTACTGTGCGTCTACCTCGTGCCAAGCGCTGTGATAGAACCAGGCCAATTTGCTGACTTTTGACGGTCTAGTGATCGGTTCCATGAAAGCCAACTTGCCTCACGGCCAATTCACAGCATTCACTTGCTTATTTTAACTGTTTACCTTCCAGTGAGCCAGTGTACGTTTTGTTTTTTTCCAGTGTACGTTTTAAAGACTGTTCTATTTGTCTCTGCTCCCTGCTGCTACACCTGAAACTGAAGATGGAGAGAGAAGGAGTCTGAGAGACAAAAGAAAACTCTATTTATAAAATAGAGTTGGCTTTCAGCACATTGGCCCAGAGTCCCCTGAAATAATAGATACTGACAACACAGAAATCAACACAACTGGAAGATCTCGTGACTCACAGAGGGAGATGATGGAGCGGGAGAGGGGACCCAGCAGTTCTGGGAGGAGTCAGGTGGGGTAGGAAGGTGGCCAGGGGAAGTTTTCCTGGAGAAGAGGATGGTGAGCTGATGGTCTAGGGACCGAAGCCTTGAGGTGGGTGAGGAAGAGGAGAGTGGTGACCAGAGCCACGCAGAGGGGAGGAGCAGCAGAGGTCTGATATGTGGAGGGGCTTCAGTCAGTTTGGCAGAAGTGGGGTGTGGGAGGTATGACGGGGTGAAGAATGAGGCTGGAGACATCATCAGGGATCAGAGCTTGTGGGGCCTCATGCGTCTTAGCAAAGAGGGTATCCTTTATCCTGTATTGGTGGGTTCTAGAAAGATTTTCAAGCAGGAAGTTAACATGATCAGTCCTGCTTATTAGAAAGACATCCTGTATGTGTTTTGGAAACCCACCAGTTCACTAAAAAGCTCTGTTGTATGCTTTAGGTATAAATATGAACTCATTTGAGAGCCACAGACTGGAAAGTCTGGAAAACTCTTTACAGATAATCTAAAGCAATCTTTACATTTTTCAGATGCAAAGGCCCAGGAAGGTAAAGGACTTGCTCAGAGTCACACAGAGAGTTCTTGTAGAGTGAGAACCAGACTTGAGCCTTAGGACTCTCAGCTAGTGTACATTCTGTTGTTGGAGAAAACAACAGAGGCTCAGAGAAATTCCCAGCCACCTCTTATCCTCTGCATGTATGTGCCCACACAAGACATACACACACTCTCAGACACACATGTACCGCAAAACATTAACTGGCACGTTGGGGTAGAAGGCAAGTCCGGATGATTTCTTTTCTTGGAACCTAGCAGCTAATCTGAAACAGGATTTATTTCAGGCCCCATTTAAAATCTTCTAGAATCTCTCCAGGTATACTTATGAAGGGTCAACTATAAACTAGCTTTCTCTGCTGAGAGAGCCTGGCGTAGAGAGTTGATTTACTGGCTTGGGGGTCAACCAGTAAGCTAACCAATGGTGGGTTCGAGTCTAGTGCCACCACAGAGCCGTTTTCCCACTTATGCAAACAAACTGGACTTGCCAGTCTTGCCTGATGTTCTTGAACTGGTGTCCTCTGCACTGCGGCCTGTGGACATGGGCAGGCTGCCAGCCCCCGGTACAGCCACCCACTTGCGCCCATCCTTCCTCTCTCTGCTAGCAGGAAAGCAGGGAACTAAGTTTAAACTTTGCCCTCACTACTGGTCATTGCACCCAGACACACTATAAATAATTAAACAAATGGCTCTGCTTCTTCCAGTGTCCTAACCAGTGGATGGTGAATTTTTTTTATCCAATTGAGAACAAAATTCCAGACAGCTCACATTTTGCACAGGTCCTGACCTTAAATCTCCTCTGTTCTTATCTGAAGGGTGACTCCCTGGGGTCACTGGAGGCCAGTGGCTGGCCACTTGGCCATGACTGGCCTCTGAGCCTCTCCTGCTGTGACCTGGGCAAACCCTGCACGTGGGTGAGGATGCGACCAATGGAGGCCCTCTCAATGCCTCCTAGGGCCTCCTATGAGGAAATCTGTGAGACAAGGACGAGGAGAACTTTGTATCTCCAGAGAAACTGGCCTGCTTCCTCCTCAGGTACTGAAAAATGAGGAATATATAAGTAATCATGTTTCTCCTTTTCCTTGGCCACATGGAAACTCGGAGTCAAATGTTAGCTCAGTTATAATGAATGCATGAGACCTGTTCTGTGCCTCTCAGAGCGCCGTGGTTGTTTTACATTTTTATTTGATATTTTATTATCATATGTATAAATAAATAATTTTATTTATTATATGTATAAGCTGCTTCAAATCCTTTGCAGAATGAGGTGAGGGAATAACTAACCCAATAAACCACAAGTGAGTTAAGATGCCCTCTACTCCCCATCCATCAACAAGTCCTGTCAGTTCTACCTTTTCCCCTTCCCCACTGCACACAGACTAGCCCAGACTCCCATTATTTCTCATGTGGATTCCACCAACCCCCCCAACTGCCTCCATTCTCACCCTCAGTCCTTTTGCCACTGAGCAACCAGAGTGATCTTCAAGTGTTAGCTGACCACTTTTCATCTCACAGCCTACTGTAGCAGTCAGAGTTCTGCCTTGCAAGCAACAGAAACTCACTCTGATTTTCTTAGTCATACACATTTACACACGTACAAAGTGTATTTGAAAGATGCTGCAGGCTCCCCAGAATCAACCACAGCTGGAGCACTGGGCCTGGACCATCTTTTAGCATCAACAGTTGGGCCTGGAAGCTGCTGTCACTGTGATTGCCATGGGAATTCGTCACCACTATAGGACTCCACCATCCCTGACGGGGCGCTACCACTGGGCCGTGGAAGAATTCTACCATCTCAATAACTCCAGGATCAAAGAGCTATGTGAGAGAGTCCAATCAGCCTGGGTCACTGCCTGTGCCCTGGCTGCTGGGAGCGAGAATGGACCTGGCCCCCCTGCCTTCTACAGAGCAAGGCTGGGCGCGCTCCCCCATTAATAGTACACAAAACATAAATTCCAAGGAGGAAGGAGGGCTAGAGACTGAGCAGCCAAAATTGCAACAAATATCCAGCATCCTTACTTTATCTCCATGATGTCCCCTTGTACCTGGAAGAAAATCCAGCTGCTATACAAGGCATGGGAGAGCTTGCCTGCTTTGGCCCATACCTACCTCTCCAGTCATGTCTCTCATTGCCCCTGGCCTGGTTCCAGTCACAGTGGCCTTGCAGGTCCTTGAACACACCAAGCTCTGTGCTTCTTTGGGCCTTTGGACATGGAGCCCGTTTGCCTGGAATGCTCTTCTCCTGCCTTTGCCCATACGTAGCTGGCTCTTTCCTGTTTCTCAGGATAAATGGCATCTCCTCAGAGGCCTCCCCTGACCCACCTGTCTTCAAGGAGGTCACTCCTTTAGAGTCTCTTTTGTGTCACTTATCACAACTTGAAATTACTTCATTGATGCTTTTGCTTGCTTCCTGCCTGTCTCCCCATTAAACAGAACCCCAACTGCATGCAGGCAGAGACCTGCTGCTCTCGCTCTCTGCTGAATCCCCAGTGTGCGGCAGAGAACCTTGCGCAGTATGAGCGCTGAGTAAATGCTTGTAATGGAATGAGAGTGTGCTTGATGTTGGGGACATGAAGAAGAATGAGGGACAGGCCCTACCCTCAGGTGCAATGAGTAGCCTGGGGGAAACAGACACAAACCGGCCATGTCACAGTGCGGGACCTGCCATGCTCTATCTAATAGGTGCACGGTAAGGGTTCAGCGATGTCAGCTCTGGTCATAAGTAGCCACGGGGTGCTAGCAGCTCCCTAGAGTTACCCCCAGTCTAGACTGGGGGAGTTACAGAAGACTCCCACCAGGGCTGACTTCATGGACGCGGGACTAATGAATCATACAGGGTGCCATGTTCAGAAGGGCCCTGAGCTTGGGCAGAATGCTCTGCAGTAGCTGTCTTGAAATTCTTAATAGCTTTATCTTTTTTTTTTAAATGTATTTATTTATTTATTTTTTATTCTTTATTTTTGGCTGTGTTGGGTCTTTGTTGCTGCGTGCGGGCTTTCTCTAGTTGCAGCGAGCGGGGGCTACTCTTTGTTGCGGTGCACAGGCTTCTCATTGCAGTGGCTTCTCTTGTTGCGGCATGCAGGCTCAGTAGTTGTGGCTCACGGGCTCTAGAGCACAGGCTCAATAGTTGTGGTGCACGGGCTTAGTTGCTCCGTGGCATGTGGGATCTTCCCGGACCAGGGCTCAAACCCATGTCCCCTGCATTGGCAGGCAGATTCTTAACCACTGCGCCACCAGGGAAGTCCAATAGCTTTATCTTTAATTTGCATTTTGTAAGAGAAGACTTTTCCACAATGGAACATGCCCTGGACACTTGGAGCCTTGGCTCACACAGGCTCCTGCTTCCCACAGCCTCACTGCCCCCAACACGTTCTCTAAGGCCCACTCCTCCGCTCCCAGTGCCCCAGCCTATCCAGCCTCATTCCTGCTCCCACCCAGTGACTGCTACCACCTTCTGGCCCCAGAGGGGGCCTGGACCAAGGTATGGGAAAGGTTAGGGTCAGGTGTGGGCATCCCACCGCATCTCATACTAGGGCGTGGAGGTGGTCATCCCTAGCCTGGGCTGACAGCGCCATGAAGCAACTTGGCAAGTGACTGGGGGTGACTTGGCGGGAGAAGCTTTTTGCCCCTTCTCCCCTCATCAAGGTACCTAGCATGTCCCTGCATGGAGGTTGCAATAGTCTGTGGGTTGGGGTGATGGCAGGTAGGAAGATAATATGTCTGGCTCAGTTTCTGTGCTCCTGGCTGGGGCATGGTGTATTGGTCTGGTGGCTGGAGGGAAAGGAAAGCTGGTAGCCAGCAGCCACAAGCACACATACACACGTGCACAGAGTTTGGGGGCTCCTGGGTGACTGTGAGAGTCTGCATTCGCCCTATGAATATCCCTGTGTCCAGGGGAGCATGACATTAAACAGCAACTGAAAAGCAGCATGCCAGGGCAAAAGAGATACTGCACAAGAAAACTTTCTATTTTAATGTATTTAACGGCACTTTCTCCCACTTTTTGAACAAGGGACTCTGCATTTTCATTTTGCCCTGGCCCAGCCGATTATGTGGCCAGTCCCCACGCTTCACTCCCCTTTGTGGAGTCTCCTCCACTGCTCCCCACTTCACAGGGAGGAGATGAGAGCTAAGAACATAAGAGCTTACATTTATTGAGCACCTACTATGGGCAGGCACCATTTTAAGCCCTTTTCTGTTTTAACTTATTTAATCCTTAGAACAATCCTATAAGGTAAGTATTGGTATTATGTCCATTTGTGGGTGAGGAAACTGAGGTGCTTTGAATGGAAAGAGCACCAAACTGAGAATCTAGAAGCCACAATGTTAATTTTAATTCCATCATAGACCTGCTGTGTGACATGGATCCAGCCTATAAACCAGGGGGAAAAAATCACCCACCTTGTAGTATACTAATTACATCAATGAGAGAATAGATGTGTGCCTGCCTTATAAACCGCATGAAAGGGACTCTCCTTGTCCTTATTTTAATTACCACCCAGTGAGTGCAGGTGGTCTGCTGAGACCACCTGATAGAATCCCCTCATTTTGGAGTGGAGTAAACTGGCTCCAGCCTCTGCTAAATCCCACGCTCCAGGCTTCCATCCCGCACTGTGCCCCGGCTCCATCTTAGAGGGGAAATAAAGGTAATAGAATGAAAGCAGGAGTGAAGATGGTGCTTGCAAAAGAAATGCTGTGTGTCGATTATTGGTTGATCGTGATTCTATTTGTTTCAGGCAACAGGCCACTGGTGCTGAATTTTGGAAGTTGCACCTGACCTTCATTTATTTTCAAGTTTGACCAATTCAAGAGACTTATTGAAGATTTTAGTTCCATAGCAGATTTTCTCATCATTTACATTGAAGAAGCACATGCATCAGGTAAAAAAGAAAGATTTCCTGCCTCCACCTCTTCCCTCTTTCTCTCCCCCCTTTGCTCAAGGTTGGGGGTAGGGAGAAGACGAGGAGAGAGAGAAAGAGCCGCTATTTGTTGAGGACCTACCATCTCCCGGTCCCTGCTAGGTTTACCCACCACTCGCTAACTCCACAGTCTGTGCTCTCAACTAGGCACACAGAGCAGAAAACCTGGAGCGACAGGTCTAGCTGGGAGAGCATCTAACATTCTGAATGGATAAATAGGGAAACCAAGGGAGAGGAGCTAATATGAGCACAGTCACAAGGAATTTAGACCTGAAATGTCACAAGTGAAATGGCAGCTCTATAGCAACCTGTGAAATCCATTCCAAGCCTCTCCAAGCTCAAAGGGACTTTGTTTCATCTCAGACAGTGGTTCCCAAGCGTCAGTGAGCACCAGAAGCGCCTGGAGGGCTTGTTAAAGCAGACTTCCGGACCCCACCCCAGAGTCTGAATTAGATCTGGGGTGGGGCCTGGGAATTTCCATTTCTAACCAGCTCCGGGTGACACTGAAGCTGCGGACTGGGGACCACACTTTGAGGACCACTGCTCTGGGCCAGCTTCTACCTGGGGCTGGGATCCTTTCTTCAGCCCCTAATAGGTGATGACTCATCTTCATTACCTCATGGGAAATCTTGTTCCTTTGCTGCACAGCTCTGTTTGTGAGAAAGTCCTTCCTTACGATGGGCAGACATGTCCCTTCTTGAAACTTCTACAGCTTGGTCTAAGCCCCTTGAACTTTATAAGATGGTCAGACACATCCCTGTCTCCCTGATTTTCATGGGGACTGAACACATGAGTTTGGCCCAAGTCTCAAACCCAGAGATTGGAGAAGGCAAGAAGGCTCATGTGGCTGAGGGGGACGAGTCATTTACTCACCCATCTCCCCACAAGATGAGAGGCTGTTTTGATCATCTGTCACCCAGCACCTGGCACAGTACACGTCACAGAGTCAGTGCTCAGTAATAGTTGGGTGAATAAGTGAGCGTTTAGGCCAGTATTAGCCTTGCTGGCTTATCCACGTGTTGTAAGTGTAGAGATTGCTATTGATTCGTTTTCAGCAAAGCTGGTCCAGCAGCCCTTTCCCCAGCGTGGTCCTTAGATCCCTCATGTCTGATCCAGCTGGGTTGCTTGATGAAAATGCACATTTCAGGGCCCCACCCTAGGCCCACTGCATCTTAGTTCACATGCACCCAGAGGTTGGAGAACTGCTTTCAACCTAACACTGTTCATTTAGCTGCCCATTTCTTTCCTCATGTAAGGCTCTGGGGCAACTTAAAGTATTAGCATAGGGTAACAGGTACATGGAGATTCCTTAAACTGTTCTCTCTACTTTTATGTATATTTGAACATTTCCAAAATAAAATTCAAAACAAACAGCATAGGTATCAGGAGAGCAAAGGCAAGCACAATGTGCCTCTTTGTTAAATACGCTTTGGGAGAGCAGCTGCCGTCAATTAAAGAGAGAGACCCTGGGCACCTACAGGTGTCTGTGGTCTCCACCGTTGAGAAGAGGCGATGCCTTGATGTTCTCATAGCTGATGGCCAAAGCGCTGCCGAAGCTGATTTACCTGTGGGGTCAGCGCTGCTCAGTCTTTAAAGTGCACTTAAGTCACCTGGTGATCTTATAAAGATGCAGATTCTGGCCCGGTGGGGCTGCGCAGGGGCCTGAGACTTGGCATCTTTACGCAGCTCCCCAGGTGGTGCTGAGGCTGCTAGCGCAGGGACCACACTTGCAGTAATAAGGTGGGTAGAGGATCCCGCTTTGATCTCTAAAAGTACACATTGCAACAAAAGGGGTTGGATCCTCCCAGAAATTGTTTCTGGTCCTGATACCTGTCTCCTCCCCCATTCTCCTGGAATCAGACTAGCAGGTTTAACCCTTTCCTGGACCCAGGGCTGTCCACCTCAAGCCACTGAGAAATTTCTCCTGAAAGCTGGGTTTCCTAGGGGAAAGGTACTAAGCAGAGAGGACTCGGAAGCATGGAGCAGGTGGGGCCAGTTCTGCTGATGGACTTCAGCAACTTATATTACCCTGGGAGGCAACTATTAGTATAAATGCAAGCCACGTGGCTTCTGAAAGAACCTTCTACCCAAGTAGAAGGGCAAGGCCAGTAGCAGTTTATGGTTATTTTTTCAACCTGTGGGCCCATTAGCTAATGAGTACCCTCTCTTTAAGTAGGCAGATGGGCACCTCGCAAACGAGGCCAATTGAAAATCCCCTTCCATTTAAAGTGAAGCAGCTTAAATGGGTTTGGTTTGGGGGTGGGGGTGGGGCATCTCCAGAGCAAAGTAGTAGAATACCTGCAGTATAGAATGAAAACTGCAAAAAAAAAAAAAAAAAAGAAAACCAGCTTCTTTCCCACCCGTCTGCTATTTGGGGGCAGTGAGGCAAAACAAACCAATATCTTTCAAGCATCTACTATGAACCAGGCAGAGTACTGGGAATTCTGCAATGTTCTCTCATGTAAGCCTCACAGCCACCTGCAACGTAGGTTCTGTTAATCCCATTTAACAGATGGGAAAACTGAGAATTTAAAGAGCTCGCCCAATATCACACAGCTGGGTGTGTCAGGGAAGGCTTCCTGGAGGAGATGGTGTTACAGCAGTGGTTCTCAACTGAGGGTTATATTTGTCCCGCAGGGGATATTTGGTAATGTATGAGACATTTTTGGTTGTCACGAATTGAAGGCAGGGGGACGCTACTGACATCTAGTGAGTAGAGGCCAGAGATGATGCTCAGTGCCTTACAACACACAGGACAGCCCCTGTTTCAAAGAATTATCTAGCCCAAGTTGTCAATAGTGCCAAAGTGGAGAAGTCCTCCATCTGCAACCCTCAGTTAAAAGTGTGTGTGGCGGGGGTGTATTTGGCCGGCAGGAAGTAGGTGCCATGCCTGTGGGGCTGCTGTCCGGCCTTTCTCTTACAGATGGCTGGGCTTTTAAGAACAACGTGGACATCAAGAATCACCAGCATCTCCAGGACCGCCTGCGGGCAGCCCGCCTGCTGCTGGACAGGAGCCCCCAGTGCCCCGTGGTGGTGGACACAATGAAGAACCAGAGCAGTCAGCTCTACGCAGCGCTGCCTGAGAGGCTGTACGTGCTCCAGGACGGCAGGATCCTGTACAAGGTGGCGACCTGGGGCAGGGCGCCAGGGAGGGCGAGGACAAAGACAGGACTTTGTATCAACGCTCAGAGAAGGAAACTGCCTTGCCCAAGGCCACACTGCACAGGCTCTGATTTCAATTTCAAATCCTCTGGGATGGGATAGGAGTGGCAGGGTTTGAAGCCGCTAAACCCTGAGACAGGCCTGAACGTGGAAGGGGGTGTAGAGGCCAGAAGAGAACCAACTCTGCAGTTAGGAGCTGGAAATGCTGAAGCAGGAATTCGAGACAGGCATTACGTCCAGGCTTCTTTTCTGGTGATTGTGTCACCACCCTTCAGTGCTTCCAGCCTGGCGAGGGTGAGGGGAGTAAGCATAGCCTCCAACCCTGTGGGCACTGGTAGCCTCCCCTGAGAGGATGGAAATTAAGTTTTATAGCTGCTGAAGGGACTCAAGCCTTGGCAAGCACATGCAGCCCAGTCACGTGGATGCTCCTCTGCCCTTTGTAACGGAAGTGCCCCCGATTCTCCATTCACACCCTTCGCGATCATGCCGCAGTGCAACTGTTTTCACTCACCATGTTCACGTGGTCGGACAGGCCCTACTCACACAGGTGAAACAAGCAACAACCTGCAGATGAATCCTCAGGGTGCTAAGGGTCACAGCATGAGGATTCAGGTCCTTCTTCCTTTCCTCTCTCCTGTGACATGGTAGTAAAGTGGCACGATTGAGGCAAGCTAGGTACCGAGTCCCTACCCTGGAAAGCGCTGTAAACACAAACACAAATTTAAAATGGCCCACATCTTACTTCAAGGTGCTCACAGTTGAGGTGGTAAGGAAGACACAAATAGAACGTTAACTTGGCCCGAGTGCTGTGAGACTCCAGAACAGGGATCAGCAAAGCTTTTCTGTAAAGGGTTAGATAGTAAATATTTTCAACTTTGTGGGCCAAATAATCCCTGCCGACATGGTTCAGTTCTGCTGTTATAGCACAAAACCAGCACAGACAATATGTAAATGAAAGGGTGTGAGACATCAGGACAGAGTTAGCTCTCAGACTATAAATTTTCTGAATGTCGGGGAAAGGTAGGCCTTTCAGAGGAGGTGACAACTGAAGCCAGCCACGTGAACATGGTGAGTGAAAACCATTGCAAATATAGGGGAGAGGGTGGGGAGAGGCACTGAGACACATTAGGGAAGGGTGTGAATGGAGAATCAGGGACACTTCTGTTACAAAGGGTTCATTCTGGACCAAGGAGTTTGGCCTACATCATAGGGCAAAAGAGAGCCACTGAAGAGTTTTGAGCAGGGGAGAGGCACAATCAGATCAGTACTTTAGAAAGATCATGGCCTATTGGGTGAAGAATGGACTGGAGAGAGCAGGGGCTGAGGACTGGGGGTGGGGGGAGGTGTGGCAGCTGCCCAAACAGAAGATGAAGAGGGCTGAACTGGGGCTGTGGGACTGGAGAGGCAGAGGTAGTTTGATGTAGAGTGGGCAGAACTTGATGAGAGGTGGAGAAGTAGATAAGGCTGGTCTGAAGGTCTGACTGTGGAAGAGAAGCTTATTTGTATAGACCCCTTTTCTCCTTTTAAAACTATTCACTTTACCTGCTCTGGTTTTCCTCCTGCTTCTCTGTCCAGTCTTCCCATTAAGTGTTGGTGCCACTCCACATGGGTGATCTCAACCACCTCATGGGTGCCTGCCTTGACTACACCATCCTGACGACTCCCACATGTATATCACCAGCCCAGATTTCTCAGTTAAGCTCCAGACCTACATATTCCTGCAAGGTGGAAATCTGGAAATGCTGACTCATTTTTCTTGCAGGGTAAACCTGGCCCTTGGAACTACCGTCCAGAAGAAGTTCGTGCTGTTCTGGAAAAGCTCCACAGTTAATCTGGACAGATCCCCCAGTTCTAGGTGCTCAACAAGAGGTCTTCTCAAGGCTTGGCTTGCCCCTCATCCCAGCTGACATTTACCTCTTGACCTGTGTCCCCAGCGGAATCACTAGCCCAGATTTTTCTTATCCAAGCAAACAACTGTTACAATGAGAAAATGAAGCTGCAAGTGAGCTGAGTGTTAAAGAAGGTACAACTCCACACTGCCCCCACCGTGGAGACCTTGTTCATTGCACGACGTCTCAGCGTGAGAGCGGGCGCACTCCCTGCGCTTCCTTCTGAACATCCAGCCACTCCACTATGGCATTCCTTAAATGAAGTAACTTCATTTTACCAAATTTGCCATTTATGGAATTGATAATTTAATAACTAGATTGGTTTTTAGAACTAAGCATGGGGATAACTCCAGGTGTTTAGAGAGAGATGAGGAATTTAAAGAGAAAGGAGTAGGAATGGGAGCAGACAGTACAAATGGGAACGCTTCCCTCGCCAAAAGATTTAAACCAGAAAGTGGTGGGGGTGATGAGAGGTGAGTTTCCCTGGTAATATGTCTTCAATTCTACTGTAGAAGAGGTGGGTACTCACTTTACCATCTTTGAATATATTTCATAGAAGTCTGGCTCTCCATACCCAGGAATCTTCTACTATCTTCACTTACCAAGAGCCACTTGTGGGGAGGACTGGCTTCCTAAAAACATTATAACCTTGACCAAACTAGACCACAGGCAATACAGAGCTGTCATTCAGTTATGCAGAAGCTCATATCTGTAATTCTGCTTCTCTGATTTCTTCACAATTCTCCTAATGGTCATTTGTGTTAGATTACATCAGTCTAATGGATAACCATTGGTATTGATCTGTTTTAACTCTGCCTCTTTTCATATTTGTTTATGATGGCCACAGCCTAAAGTACACACAGCTGTGACTTGATTTGAAAGAAAATGTTTTAAGATGCAGCAAGCTAATACAGAATGATTAAAAAATATCAGGCTAGTTCAGATGGCTTCAGTGCGATATTTACACTGTCTTTTCTAATGTGTGTCAGCTTGTTCTAGCTTTTTTTATAGACCAATGTAATCTGATTAGAAAAAATAACATATGTTGGAAGGCCCTCCTCTGGAGGGAAGAACACTCAGTCTGTATGTGTTACCTGTCTAACATGGTTTTGTCTTGTGAGCTCCTTGCCAGAGAACATCCATATGGGAGGCATATTACGTTCACAACATGACATAATAGAATGGACTTGGGAAGCATTTTTTCTAACATGAAAACACATTCTCCTTGGCTCTGCCTTAGTTGCCACATGTTATTATTAATGTCGTTATTTTACTTTTTAAAAAATAGTTGTTAATCATCTATCAGGCACAGGCACTTTCAGATACGTAGTCTTATTTAATCTCTGTATATTGCAAAGAGGAGATTATTAGCCCCGTTTTACAGATGAGGAAACCAAGGCTCAGAGTTAAGTAACTTGTGGAAGCTCTCAGAACCAGTAAGTAACAAGCTGAGATTCAAACCCCATCTCTAACTTCAAACCAGAGTCCTAGCTGTGCTCTCTACTGGCTGTGTGACTTTGGTTAAGCTGCTTTTGTATCTTGAACTATTACAAAACAGGGTATCAATAGGGCCTACCCCACAGAGGACTCATAAATAAAGCACTCAGAACTGTGCCTGACTTGGAGAAAATGCCATCGAAGTGTTGGCTCTTATGGTTACCATCATTATTGTTCCACAACTGCCTCCTTGGGCCCCCTTCAATTCACGTCTATAAGTGCATAGAAATATCCCGGTTTTAAACAAATAGTAGCTGGAACTGAGGAGTTTTCAGAAAGCTAAAATAGATCCCAAACATTCCAATTCAATTCTCTTCAATGTAATGCTTCAGACATTAATTGAGCACTGATTCTTTTCTGGGTGCTGAGTGATGATGCAAAGATGACAAAGTCCAGCTTTGGTCCTCCAGCAGCTTAACCTCCTAGGGCAGGGGGGATGGGGGTGGACATGCACTGCAATAACCATAATTCAAGCTGGACTATGATGGGTTAGAGTGAAGACTAAAGCTCAGAGAGCACAGAGGAGAGAGCAGCCCTTCTGAGCTAGGTGCGTCTAGGAAAGCTTTGTGGGGGTGGGAGCCTCTGGGCTTGGCCTTCTAGGATCCCTAGGACTTCTATAATCTGGGATGGGAGCCTGAAGAGTATGGGAAGGGAGAAGAGCATTCAAGTGGGCTAAACAGCATGGGCAAAGGTGGGGAAAAAACCTGCCCAGGAGACTGCAAGAGGTTTGAATTCAGTTCTAATTCATGATCAAGAAAGGGCTTTTCTATTTGAAGGTGACCTCTCTGGGTCTGGATAACAAGAATGATCTTGTTATCCAGAGGAAGTAAAAGAAGCTTGTTAAAATGTCTTGTCCCACTCTGAGTACAGTTTGCATTCAGAACTTCAACTGATTTGAAGAATCTTCTTCAAAATACCATGCCGGTCTGCTTTCAGTGGGAGGTTTACGTTTTTAGTTCACTTGTTCTCTAAGGGTGATGACCTTTGTGGTACCTGGCTTTATGTGGGACTCTGAGCCTACACCCCATTCTAGCTGATGCAAGACATTGCCTTATGTGCCTGGCAGGAGGCCCAGGAAACTCAGGCTCTGACTCTCAGAAATTGGCAGATGCCCTCGGAGTGGCCCAGTGACTTTAATGCTTGTTCAACTCCCCAGAGTCAGGCTCCCAACTGGTTCCTGGCCACAGAAAACTTTATTTCTGCTAAGTTCAGCCATTAACTTCAAAAGGTGTATTAAAATATTTTATCCAGCATTGTTAGATGTTCGATTCCAGGATATCCAATTGGCCATATAGATTACATCATTGCAAGTCTCAAGTATGCAGTTTTTTGAAGAAGGGCTCGTGGATCCTGTATTCCCTGAAGTCTTACATGCTTCTAATGACCAGCTGTTGTCCTTAAGCCTGAAGGATATCTGGCTGGGTTTCAGATTCTTATGTTTCAGTCTCGACCTCAGAGATCTGTGGACATTGTTCCACTGTTGTCTAGCTGTCATGAGAGGAAAAGTCTGAGGCCAGCCTCATTTATTTCCCCTGGCACTTACTTGCTTTTATTCTGCCTGGAAACTTGTCAGATTCTTTCTTCATATTTGAAGTTCAGTAACTTCACCAAGACGTAGTCTAGTGTTGGTTGTTCTATGTCACAATTTACTGCTGTGGTCTGAATGTTTGTGTCCCCTCAGAATTCATATGCTAAATCTTAAAGCCCAGTGTGATAGTGTCAGGAGGTGGGGCCTTTGGGAGGTGATTAGGTCATGAGGGTGGAGTCTTCATGAATGGGATTAGAGCTGGCTTGCCCTCTTCCACCATCTGAGGATACAAGAAGTCTGTAACCCTGTAAAAGAGCCCTCACCTGACCTTGCTGACACCCTGATCTCAGATTTCCAGCCGTCAGAACTGTAGGAAATGTTTCTGTCATCTATAGACCACCCAGTCTATGTTATTTTTGTTATAGTAGACCTAAAGGACTAAGGTAAATACAATATCCTCTTTTGATCTTAAGATTTCTTTTTTTTTTTTAATTTCAAGGACATTTTTTGTTGCCTTGAACATCTTCTCTGTTGCTTTTGTTCTATTATCTTACTCACGGACTATAATTATGGGTATGTTGTATCCTTTTTTCTTCCATAACTATTATCTTCTCCATAACTTTTAAAATCTTTGTTCTTTTTGATTCCATGTTGTGATTTTTCTCAAAATTTTTCCTCTGATCCTGATTCTTCTTAAGTTGGGTTTGTTATTGTTCCAGATACGGCTTGTTGGTTCTCACTCTTTCCTACTCTTCCACACTCTCCTCTGGGTTTCAGGAGGTAGAAGCCTGAACACTGCATTCTGGTTAGGTTCTGCCAATGCGAAGCACTGGTGGAGATTAGAGGTGGGCAGAAGGCAGAAGTCATTTTCTCCATCTCTGGCTGTAGGGATTGCAGGAGACTGTGCATGGTAGCTGCTTTAGGATCACCAGCCATGGTGGTGGAGTGGCTTCTGTTCAGAGGCAGTAATGGTGCTTCCATTGATCAACAGTGAGTGTGGCCCATGGGCTTCAGCTCTGGGTTACATTCTCATCTTCTGTTTGTTTTCCCAGACTTTTCAACACTTTGTAACAAATTGCCTGCATTATTTCCTTCCCAGCTTTAACTAAATATCTAGATTGATTTCAGTTTTCCTAACTCAATGCTGACTGCTACAATTATCATCATCATCCCTTTGCTTCTTATGTGGCTTTCACCTCTGAAACAGTTTATTTTTCTCTTCCATTTCTTTTCTCAGCTCTGCCAGCTCAATTTTCATCTTCTGCATCTTCTTTTTCTTTAAATCTTTGCACCTCTTTGAGCTCTCTGTTTTTTTTTTTTAATTAATTAATTTATTTGGCTGTGTTGAGTCTTAGTTGCAGCATGTGGGACCTTTCATTGCGGCTCACGGCTGTTTGTTGCGGCAGGCAGGCTTCTCTCTAGTTGTGGCACGTGGGCTCTAGAGAATGCGGGCTCAGTAGTTGTGGCACGTAGGCTCTCTAGTTGTGGTGAATGGGCTCCAGAGCAGGCGGGTTCAGTGGTTGCAGCACGTGGGCTTAGTTGCCCTGCAGCATGTGGCATCTTAGTTCCCCGACCAGGGATTGAACTCTCATCCCCTGCACTGGACCACCAGGGACGTCCCTCTTTTTGATTTTTTGAGAGATAACTATTGGGTCTCCATTCTTGATGTGTTCTTTGTGTAATTTCTGTTGCAATGAGTGTCCTGTAACTGCCTTATTTTTCTGGGCCCCCCTCCCATCTTTTTGTCTTATAGTTTCTAGTCATAGGTCCCTATAGCACAATGGTTCTCAAACTTTGACATGCATCAAAATCACCTGGAGGGATTCTTAAAACAGATTCATGGGTTTCCCCCGCCAGAATTTCTGATTCAATAGATCTGGCGTTGGGCTAGGGAATTTGCATTTCTAACAAGTTCTCCGATGAGGAGGAGGTTGCTGTTCCAGGGACCACACTTTGAGAACTATTGTTACTATAGATGCCGTCAGTGTTCTGCCCAGATCCCTTTTCCACATCAGTGCATCCATCTGCCAGCTGCTGTGAGTGTTGGCTGCTAATGGTTCACAAGTGTCTTTTCTCCTGAGAATTGCTCTAAGTGACAGGAGCTACAATGCCTGAGACGTTATGTTCCCATAAGGGTGGCCCATGGCCAATGACTGATGGATTTGAGAGCACAAAGGCCTGGTCCCTTGCCTCCAAGTTGGAGAGCATACCTCTCTGGTGTCATTCATGCTCCAAAGCTCCCTGTGGCATCAGGCTGAGGCCAGACTTCAGCTGAAGCCATCTTTGATTAAATTTCTCCCCTGACCTATTCTGCTTCCGGAGAGCACTCCCTCAGTAAATCACTCTTACAACCATTCCTCTCTAAAGCTCTGTTTCTAGAGACCCTGACCTAAAGCAGTCCTCTTCTGGATCTTTTCTGATTGCTCTTTTTTAATAGGGCTTGTTATTTGCTGAAGCATAATATAGAAAGAGGAACTGCCAGCTAGGGCAATCTGCAACTTTGATTTAGATTGGTTGTCTTGAATACTCTCGTTATTTCCTTTGCAATGGGGCTCATAGAGCCAAGGTGAGCTGCCTTCTCACCACCTGCTCTGGACTTAATTGTGCCCTCCCCCCACCCCCATTCATATGTTAAAGCCCTAAGCCCCAATGTGACTTTATTTGGAGGTAGGACTCATTCAAGGTTAAATGAGTTCATGGGGTGGGGGGGGGAGGCTGATACGATAGGATGAGTCGTTATAAGAAGAGACACCAGAGGGACTTCCCTGGTGGTCCAGTAGTTGAGAATCCACCTTCTAGTGCAGGGGACGCAGGTTTGATTCCTGGTCTGGGAACTAAGATCCCACATGCCGCAACCACTGAGAACGTGGGTCACAACTGGAGAACCCACATGCTGCAACCCACATGCTACAGAGCCCACATC